TTGAAATTTTTGGCAGCAATTTTCCGAGAATAATACAGAAATGATAATTACCAAGAGCGGTCGGCGCATGTTTCCGTCCGTTCAAATAAATGTAAACGGTTTGGAGAAACGTGAGAATTATTATGTCCTCATGGAGATAGCACCGGCCTCCGATCGCCGTCACAATTACTGTGGATACCAGAACGGGGGCGAGAACAGCAATATGAGTGACTGGAGCTTTGCGGGGCCGGCAGAGCCACAACAGCTTTTCGGCTATAGAAGCATCCCGAGTCCGGCAACGGGGAGCCACTGGATGGACAATCCGATCAGCTTCAATAAATTGAAGCTCACGAACAACATCAACGACCCCAATAATAACGTGGTATTAACATCGATGTACAAATACGTTCCTAAGATCTGGATAGTTCGTTGCTTCGATGCGAAGAACTACAACGAGCTCTTTACTCATTCAACCGCGTTGTTCGCTTTCAAGGAGACGGAATTTATCGCGGTGACGGCATACCAAAACGAGAACATCACGAAGTTGAAGATCAATAACAATTTATTCGCGAAGGGTTTTTGCGAAATGGGTAAGTCACGGTTCAAGCAAAAGCATCATTTGATCGATCATCAGGCTCAATCGGATCTCAGTCCCGACGAAAGGGTCTCATTGATTTACGACTCCGAATCGAATCAGCCGAACGACTTTCCCTTAAGGGTTCCAAGCCCATTAAAGCATGCGATTATCTTTTACTTTAGCCGGGGAGTCGAAGTTGGCCGGCCTTGCAACGTGGGAGAAGCGGACGCGAATCCCGCCACCGTTGCGAGTCGATCCCCGGCGCCGGGCGTGCTTGAAACGCAGTGTCCGTGCACTGCGTTTGACACAGATGGATATCCATTCACGAAATAACTTATTACTATTTATTTTTATTTTAATTTGACACGGTTACCGGGGGTAAGTCTCGTCGAGACCGTAGACATATTCGGACGTGTTTTGTCCTGAATAATTTTTGAAGATTGCTGATGCAATCAGCGCCGAGTTTGGATTGAATCTTTCAAGTCTGTATTTATTATATTTGACTTGTTCTTGGCCGTTATGTGATCTTGAGGAGGATTAGGTGCCATAAAATTTACAAAGAAGAGGAAGGAAGAAGAAGGCTATTGGGGGCCACGGCTACTCGTGGCATGAGTTTTGTGCGTCAAGAGGCGTAATCGTTTCTAAACCCGATAACTAGCGCCTACTTTCGAGGAGCCAGCTACGGAGTCACTGGGTGTCTCCGCACTAACCGAGTCATCAATCTCGCATCGTGCGTGCATTGCCTGGACCATCCGAGAACTCAGGCGTGAAGATTCATTCTTAACTTCTTCATATTTATTGCGTGTTGTGGAACAAACGGGTTGACAGCCGAGAGCTTTTTAGATAACCGTAACTTTCCTTGGCTCCGAATCTCACCAGCGGTACTTGGGTCCGTATCACTACAGGCTCTTATATAGAGGCGCAGTCAGATCGCCATTGACGCCACTTGGTTACTGCAGAACGCGCTGGCCATCCGACATCAGATCTTGCGACCGAGCCGTACTGAATCGGAACAGCCTCATTGCAGTGGTTCAGCGAGACCACTGGGAGGTGTTAAAGCGAATGATTTGACTGGGAGAGGCTATATATTCGCATCACCAGACCAGTAACTGACTCTGACTCCAGGCCCAAAGAGACTCGTGCAGAGAATCAATGACTTAAGACAGCCTGACTCCTTCGATATAAAACGACAGTGCTCGCACCACCGTAGTTTTCAGGCCATTTGAATCTTTGGATTCTAACACAGATTTGCCACTTTTTTCCTTTCTGCCACGATTTACAAAAGATTTACAAAAGGTAGTAGTTTTGCCGCTGTTCGCAACGCGGACGGGAGCGAGGCCGCTGTGGCCAGCGTGATAACCGGTAGTAGGTCCGAGAGAACGAGTACGTGTATACGCGATCGCGTACTTAACGCGTATTCTGCGAGCGACCGGTCGGTCAGCCGCGGGTTTGATACACGGCCAACAGTGCCTCCGATCACGTAATCTAACTGATCGTTTCCAGTTTCACCGGCGTGAACTTGCTTCCAGTATTAGCCACGCGAAGTAAGACCACTTTTGCTACTCAATATGTCGTTAACCTTTTAGGGGCCTGTGTACATAATTATGTAAATTAAGAAAAAAAAAAAACAAAAAAAGCAAAAAACTTTTATCAGGGACGGTTTTTTAAGAGATTATCTTATAAATTATAACATTTTACTCCAACGGGATCGATGTGTGGTTCCTAAAAGATTAATTTAACTAAAACAATGTTAATTTAATTATTAATTTGACTAGTCAATGGAGTTAAAATAACATTATTTGTGTTATAAAATAATAAATTTCGACACATGGTAATTAAAAAGAACAAAATGTTATTTAACTCAAGGTATTGGTTTAAATTTTATCTTTTGATATTTAATAGCGTAGGGACAATTATAGTAACTATACCACTTTTTATTTATATATAGTATATAGACTAATGACTATATGTATAGAATACTTTGTAATTAATTGTAATTGCAAGCCGTTTTATCAGACACTGTAAGTCTAAGTGTGTTATTTCTACACGCATATACGTTTAAAAATGACACATTTGACTGAAGCTCGTTTTACATGTTTTGTTGCGTATTAAGGCTCCTGTTCACTCACTGCAGCCATCTTGGATTGATGACGTCAGAAGCGAGAAAGTTATGAAAACATCATGAAAATTCTTGTGATTTACACTAAAATAAAAATGCTTTTTGATAAAATACCACCTGTGTAAACGATAAAATAGATTTGTAAAATACACCGAAACATCCCCTTTTATATAGTAATCCACATTTGTCGAAGTGAATGTTGCCTAATCAAGAACGAAAACAAGCCGTTTGACAGCTGCCGAATTGAAATAAGTATTTGCTTGCACATATTAAATCACGATAAAGTGGATATCTTCGGTGTATTTTAACACTATCGCAATAATTTTAAATGTGAAAACACTGCACTAAAATGAAGAATAACGCTGTAAATCGCAAGGATAAATTAGCTTTGACGTGTCATTTTTCACGCCTTATAGTTCACAGTTTTGCCAAGTGTGACGCTGTCTGTGCGAAAACGCGGAGTTGGTTCGCGAGCCAGTAGGAGCCTTAAATCAACATGTTTAATCATATTAATATGTTCAACTGTGTTAAATGGCTTTATTCAAAACGACAAGAAATGTGTAAGAAGAGCTTTAGTTAAAATAACACACTTAGATTTGCAGTGAATTAACCGTATAGAAAAAGAATTTCTTATGATTTCATAAAATTATACTTTTTAAATGAAAGAAAGTTACGCACATTGCACGTAATTTTCTTCAACTTATTAATACGCCATGAATGTACTCGATGCATTAAATTATGCATTTTATTCGTTGATATTGTTTACGATAATCTTATCGTCGCACCTTTAATTGATTATACGCGTACATATCGATGCTGCGAGATTTATATTAATATTACTCGTATAACGAACTCTTTCCGTGAATATATCTCCGATTTAAGATCGATTTAGACATAACCGTGCCGTGTTCGTACCGTTTACGGACAGAAAGATTTAAACTTGTTTCACACGTAGGTATCCGGCACCGGACTACCGATGCCGGGTATCCGATCGATTTTCTTTGTTTTCATAAATCGGCTATCGGACAAACGTGTAAATGCTCCCATATTAATCCATATACTTTGCGATCGGATACCCGGCGTCAGTAGTCCAGTGTCGGATACGTGTGAAACAGGGCTTAGTCGAATTTCATCCGTTGCATCTTCGAATATCTTTGAATTCTTAACTAGTGGCCGGATCGTCACTAGTTAGTGGTAGAGTTGCAGGCGTTTTGATGAGAGTTTTAAGAAGATATTCGATTTTGAAGGTCTTTCGTGAATGTCATTTGCGTTTTGATGATGATTTTTTAAAACAATTCTAAGGTTTTGCAGTTTTTTACTTATCAAGAACTCTAGAACTTTTCAAAGGGAATCAAATGAGCTATATAAACTATTTTGACTTTAAATTAAACTTTTCTTTTTTGTTTTTTGAAAAAAATTTAATAAAGTTTTCTTTTATCAGGAACTCTAGTACTCGTCCAAAATGCTTCAGATGAGCTATTCAGAACTATTCGGTCTTAAAATTGGGTGTGAAGTTAGGATTCCATTTTTTAATTGTCGTTTTCAAAGAGTTAATCGCCGGAACTCTTTTTATAAACATAAAAATACTCTTATACTCTTCGAAAAGAAGCTGGAACTTTAATCAGAACTAAAAAATATTAAAGTAGGTGTGCGAACTTCACACACTCATCTTCGTCAGTATCTGAATTTTCATCAGACATGTCAGAGTTTGTTAGACATTGCATTTGTCTTTCTTCTGCAGCTTGTATGTTTGGTGGAATCAATAATTGTACGGCAACTGGTGATAGTTTTTAATTTTTTTTGTGACAGATTTTCGCAAATTAGGTATATATATATATATATAAAAATTAAAAACTATCACCAGTTGCCGTACAATTATATATATATATATATATACTACCTTGATCAAAAAGCTCCCGGAATTTATTTATAAAATGCAAAATACAAGTTTATTTATCAATATTAATATTTTCCCCTTCAAAGTACTTTCCATCGACTGCAACGCACTTATGCCAGCGCTTGATCCAATCCTCGAAACATTTTTTATACTCGGTGTTCGGTATGGCCATCAGAGCTGTCTTCGATTTTTCCATTATCTCCTCTCGGCTGCTAAAACGCGTTCCCCGTAGTGGTTTTTTGATTCGATTGAACAGAAAGAAGTCGCAGGGAGCCAAATCAGGTGAATTTGATGGCTGTTGGATGGTATTTGTTCCGTTCTTGGTCAAAAAGTCGCGGATAATGATGGCATTGTGCGACGGTGCGTTATCATGGTGCAAAATCCACGAGTTGTTTGCCCACAAATTCGGTCATTTTTGGCGAACTGCTTCACGCAACCGTCTCGTAACGCCCAAATAATACTCCTTGTTTACTGTCTGACCTTGTGGCAAGAATTTGATGCACAACGCCGTCGTAATCCATGAAAACCGTGAGCATCGCCTTCTTTTTTGATTGAAAACGGCGTAGTTTTTTCGGTCTGGGCTCATTGAGTGCACGCCATTCACTCGCCTGATGTCTAGATTGCGTGTCGTATTCATAAACCCACGTCTCGTCTCCAGTAATGATGCGTTTGATGAATGTTGAGTCGGATTCAGCCTTGGAAATCATGTCTTTTGCGATGTCAACGCGGTCCCTTTTTTGCAAAAAATTCAGGTCTTTTGGTACCAACTTTGCTGCAACACGGCGGAAACCCAAATCATTAACTAAAACGTCTTGAACGGATCTATAAGCAATGTTCAAGTCCTCTGCTAGCTCTCTGATGGTTAATTTGCGGTTCTTGACCACCATTTCTTTCACTTTATCGACGTTTTCGTCGGTTTTCGATGTTGACGGCCTGCCACTGCGTTTGTCATCTTTGACGGACTTACGACCACTTCTGAAACGTTCGTGCCACTGGTAAACGACTGTTTTCTCTAGAGTATCGTTGCCGAAACACTTTTTCAACATTTCCAAGGTCCTCGCACCATTCAATCCGTTTTTAACGCAAAATTTAATACAAACTCGTTGTTGCAAAAATTCCATTTTTTAAATTGTAAAAAATCGAAAACACACACAGTGCCGTGTAACTTTTAAAAATGTTAAGCATAGCGCTGAGAGAGAGAAATTAGGCGGGACAGTTGTGCCAATTTAACAAAACAAACAGAACTCAAATTGGGTGACTGAGAGCGTTACACAGTGGTAATTTCGGGAACTTTTTGGCCAAGAACGGAACGAAACCATTCAACAGCCATCGAATTTATCTGATTTGGCTCCCTGCGACTTCTTTCTGTTCAATCGAATAAAATAACCACTATGGGGAACGCGTTTTAGCAGCCGAGAGGAGATAATGGAAAAATCGAAGACGGCTCTAATGGCCATACCGAACACCGAGTATAAAAAATGTTTCGAGGATTGGATCAAGCGCTGGCATAAGTGCGTTGCAGTCGTTGGAGAGTACTTTGAAGGGGAAAAATTAATATTAATATTATTTTATTACTGGCGAAAATTTATTTTATTCTTTGAAAATATTAATATTGATGAATAAACTTGTATTTTGCATTTTATAAATAAATTCCGGGAACTTTTTGATCAAGGTAGTATATAGATCGGATGTGATCATAAGCCGCAAAAAACATCTTCCATTGTTTTTGTTCGAGAGCACTTTCTCGAGAAGTCTTCTCGAAACTTTTTTATGTACTCGTTCATTGTTTCTTGGGCATCTTCAGACATTTGCTCTATCGGTAATAGAGTAGAGGCTATAATTTTCGGTCCATGAATTAATAGTGTCAGAGTAAACTGCTGCTTGATAAAATTTTTGAGCTTGTTGATAAGCCAAAGCTTATCGGACAGTTCGTTCTTGAGCACAGACATCTGTTTTTTAAACTTTTCAATCCCTCCAAAGCTCTTGTCGCCGTTTTTTTCTCCTCGAGCTTCTTGGCGCATTTATTGCGGCATATTTTCTCGTTTTTCTCGTTGTCACCACGTTTCTCGTCGTTATCAACGTATATCACAAAAATTACCGACATTCTGATTACAATCATACTTTTTCGTGTCAAGAATTTTTCTTATGGTCCCCGTTTTATTTTCGGGGAGTACAGTGTTTTTCTTCCATTCGGCAAACGGCTTTCTGGCTGGTACTTTGTAAATTAATTTTTTTCGGTTCCGGTTTATTAAAATTTTCTTATTGAAATTTGTATTGAATTGAATTATTTATATGCATACTTCGTTTGTAGATATGTACTTATCGGTTCCGGTTTCGATTTTTTTCAGTGTTCTGTGCAAGTTGCAAGTTTTTCCTAAGCTTTTTTCGAGATTTTTTGAACGTTTTCTTTTCTTGGTTTTATTTCTAATCTTTTTGTATCATTAACGAGACCTCTGTCACCATTTGCTTCTTTGTATAAAACATCAGTTTTAAATTTTGAATCTAGAAATAATATTGGAAGATAATAACGTAACATGAACAAAGACTAATATCATCTTGGGTCAAAATTAATCAACGCGCCTCTACATAACTTATTTTTTTCAAAAGCAATGTTTTCTTCAACAACATATTTTGCTTTTTCTTTATTTTCTGGTCTTAATTCTTTTGAAGATATGATTTCTAACGGTATCGATTTTGATTTTGGTCCTATAGGCTTTATAAATTTTTCATACGGTTTACGGTTCCGGTTCGACAAAAATATCGGATACGGTTTTTGGTTTTGGTTCCTGTCCGGTCCAGGTCCTTGGTGCAAATTATAAATTTAAACATTACTTTCTCACAGTTTTTAAGTATGCAAATTATGAATTTGCACGTTGCTTAATCAATATTTTATTTATTTAATTCAATTGCTTCTATAGCTGCTTCACGGTCTTCAATAATGTACTGTTTATCTGCTTCGTGAGCAAATGCGATTGGTCATTTCACTCATTTCTAATGGACTAATCAATGATTAAGTTAATCGGTGCTTGGTCAAAGTAGCTCTAAAAGGGGCACCACTTTCGTCGAACTCATGCATAAAGCTGCTGAATTTGTTATTAAAGAAACTGGTCTCACGAAGTACAAAGATTTAAGAGGGACTTGGCCGAACGAAAATATCGGTTCAGTTCCGGTTTTTATAATTTCTTTTACTTTGTCCTTTTTTCTCTTTTTTCTCTCTAATGTTTTTTTTACGCCTTTTCTCTTTTTCTTTGTTCTTTACAGATATACTATTTTCAGTAATCCATGAACTCGAACTTGGCGGATCTATTTCCAGTCTTGTGGCTGATAATGATTTTGCAGAGATTGATTCTGTTCGAATTGATCCTGTTAAATCTGAGTTTAATGTTGTGCTGGATTGATCTGCAATGATGCTATTGTTTTTTAACGTCGCTGATTATATTTTTTCGTTCTTTCTTTCTTTTTTCCTAATTAATGTGTCTTCATTCTCTTCTTCTTCCTCCTTGCTACTTATACTACAACTTTTTTTTTCTTTTGTAATCCATAAGGTAGAACTCGAACTTGCTGTAACATTTTTCAATTCTGTTGCTGATATTGACTGCTGAAAATATGTTAGGATGTGTGCCAGATTCAGTTGTAATTGTTTTTTTAGTTCTCTTATCAATAAATTTCTTAATTTTGCTTGCGAAAGTGGTTCTCTGCTTTGAGTCTACTTCTGCTAAATCTATTTTGGAATTTTTGTCAAAATTGTCGCTCATAATTTTGTAATTAATTCTTTGAATATATATCTTAATATCAAATATGGCTTTTTTCTGTGGTAAATATGCATAAAAGGTTGAACCTCACCGATGATCTTGACCTTGACATATGTTGTTAAGGTCACTCTCCTGAGTGACCTTCAGAAGGTTTTAGCCGGCGATCATTGTTTATTAAAGAGTTATAAACAAAAAAATGTTGAAGAATATAGCAGTTGTTTTGAGTACTAATAGACCAATAATTGATATTTATGTGGAAATAGTATATGTATGCTGCTACCACATTTACCATCCAAGTGATTCGACTTTCGTTTTGCGGTAAACAGCGGTCTGTCGAAATTGTATATTTGAATTCGGGCTTCGATTGCCTCTTTCGTGCAGGCCAATATTTTTTCCGGCCAAAACACGTTCATACTATTTAGACATACAATTTTGCGCAGTCCAGCCGGCACTCTGACGGCTCCATATTTTACATCTTGCGTATAGGCCGTTTCTCGCTCCATCGTATGCAATAGTGTTTCGGGGACCCAATTGCGAAAAGCCATGTCGTCCAGGATTATCCCGTCGGTGATTCTTTCTTTGAATCTGTTCCAGTTCTGCTTGCCCCTGATTATAATTGGATGTTGAAAGTGCGTTAGTGCGAATTGAGTTTTTCCGATTCTAGTCTGTAAACATGAACAACGTACATATATATGTATATGAAAGGGCAGTTTTCAGTACCCAAAAAAATTTA